CGGTGAAATCATGCTAAATGGGAAGGAAGAGGAAGATACCATTCAATAATTTCGTCATCGAGTATAATTATCAGGAAGGAATATTATACTTCAGCAACACACACAATTAATAATTTAAGATAAAATAAACTCTACAACAAGATAAAAATGGACTCTCGAGATTTAACAACAAATTAATATTCGAATAACAGGCAATTGAGAGGAAAAACTGATGAATCATGAATTCATTGTCGAAAATAGAATATGATAGAACATAATTCAGTTCTAAGAAATTTTACAGACAATTGAACGAACGGACAGACCAACACAATGAAATTATAGTTTGCTATGCTGCACTATTTAATAAAATAAGACAAAAAATATAAATTTTCTGCACATAAAGTTCGCTCTGTACGATCTAATCAATCGATTATAAAGTTCGATTTCTCAGATATAGCCTAAATATTTTTCAGAATTGCAAAGTCATGGCGCAAAATGAGGCCAATGTTTGTTCTTGCCTAATTTCGAGGACTGTTAGTTCGCGCATTCTTCTTTCTCTATATTTGCCTTCTCTCGACCTTCCTGCACCGTCCTCGCCCACTTCGACTCTCGCGCCTCCCCTCCACACTGTCGGGCATAATAATTAATGACCATTCCTACGAAGAAGGCACCGCCACCCAGGGTCGGTCCTTGCCAACCGCAAAAAATGATTATGAATTCGAAATCGTCAGTTATTAATACCGAACTTAGGTAGCGGTCGACATGGAAATAGAATATAGGTGTTCGCCTCAAAGTTCACTATCGAGAATTCTACAGAGAATCTTACAATAACGAGAGGTCTGAATTCTCATCAGTGTACTTTATAACTGAAATCTTAAAGATAATAATAATCTAAAAATTAAATGAAAAAAAAACAAAAAATTTTAATTTCGATAGTTGCTTTCAGTAATATTTTTTCAAATGTTTATCTAATTTTTACAAAATAAGAAATAAAATCAGTACTCTATAATTTAAAAAATAGAAAAATCAACAGAAACTAAAAATCAAATATAAAAATTCTCTAAGTGGTAAACTTTCTCGCGGTCAAAATATAGAAGTAACAGACGAGAATGCAATTAGAGAAAAACGTAGCGATGGACACGTGGATGAGACTAAGGCCTGCGAGACTGGAAAGTCGATTCACCAAACAAATGAGTCAGTTATGCCCTATCCCTCCCTGCTCCTTCTTTCCGACGTCGTTCGTCTCTTGGCCTTCTCCATGGTCGCTTTGGACCGCTCTACCGTTTTAATGGCTCTCCTGGCACACAGGCCCGCGAAGGAACGCTGCAGGACGAGAGACAAACGGACAAACGGAGACGGAGAGACAAAGGACCCGGAGCGAAAGGAACCGCGGCAGAAAAACGAAGGCGCATTATTTTACTGGTGTGAACGGACGCAGAGAATTACGGGACGAAGAGGGAAGACAGGAAGGGTACGTCGAGGGTGGAAAGGACCGAGAGCACCACGCGAGGGGGCGTGGTGAGGTGTGGTCAAATTTGTTGAGGGTTGGTTTCTCCTGGATTTATATTTCATAAATTATGTACTGGAGTCTCGCACACCCAGGACGAGGATTCGAACGAGAAGCGCTCTTTCGTCTTTCATCTCGACGAGGAGCGAGATTTTTAATGGTCCACCGCCGCGATCGAAGTTATAATTGCGCGTTTCATCGTACACATAAGTACACAATGGAATTGTTTCTATCAAATATTAATGATATACAGAACACCCAGCACGAATGTAGAATTCGATTGTGCTAACTTGTGATAACCAAATAATGCTGTTTCATTGGATGGTCCTTCATTAAAAGTATTCTTCTTTGGCAACAAAATTAAAAAATTAATGATCGACAATAATTTAATTATAAACTAATAATATAAAAAAGATAAAAGATCAGGCACTAATCAGATGGAAAAGTGACCACCGTTAAAAGAGGAATAACATGTGCGAAAGTATACTTTATGAGGTACTGATCAAAAGTCTCAATGACATCAACCTCCTAAAACCGCTAGTTTTTACACTGTCAGCTCATAAAGATTTTAGAAAATAAAGTGATTTCAAGCAGTCTTGAGACTTTTGATCAGTACCTTATAAAGTATACTTTTGCACATGTTATTCCTATTTTAACGGTCGCCACTTTTCCATCTGATTAGTGTCTGGTCCTTTCGGTTTAAACATAATTAATAATTAATTCTAATTATATTCATAATAATAATCCTTCAATTAACCATTGACTTTGGAATCTTTGTCGAATACTGTAAAGGATCCCGCACAAATCTTATGTAAAATGGACCCCAGTCGAATTGGCTGAAATTTTACTATAATCATGATCTATTATAGTAGATTATGATGTCCTGATCAAAAATGGGCACAAGGTCCAAAAATGAACAGTTTTCGAGATACTGAGAGTCAAATGTTAGAAATATGGTTATTTACTTATCGAGTAGATGCAATCACCGAGAACGGAATTCATGGATCCAAACGAAAATTAATCAAAGAATATCTTAGGACAACATCAGAGATAAAAGAAATGTAGAATAAATGTGGATATGATCAGGACAGGAATAAGGTCACCTTCGTATCGAATCAATAGATAAAAATTAAAATAGCCAGCCCATGTATAAACTGAAAAAGAATTGTTATAATATAGAGAAAGGTAACCGATACCGACATACCACTTTGTTTTTAAACAATATTTCTTAAACAAAAGGTAAAAATACAACTTCAAAAACACAAATTAAAAAGTATCTTCTATCAGATAGTATAATTTTCTCCGTATATAAATAACAATTTCACAGACGAATTAGTCACACTCACTTATACGTTGTATTGCCTGCAAGCACATTTGTGTACAAAAATAAAATTAAGAAGCGAAGGTTTATTCGCACATAAGTATTATTGTTTACAAATCGATTGCCTACGAGCATTAAAATTATATAAGAAAATAATTTGTGTTTTTAAAATACAAAATTTGTGTTTTTTTAAAGTACACTGAAAAAAATGCATGTAATTTTACATGGAAATTACATGTTCATGACTGGAAAATTGCCTAAATATGATTGGAAATTTACAATTTCCAGTAAATTTCCAAGCATATTTATGTAATTTCGATAATTTTCCAATCATATACATGTAATTTCCATGTAAAATTACATGCATTTTTTTCAGTG